AATTATTATTTATTCATAGTATTTATGTTGAAATGCCACAGTGTGGTGACATATTTCACCCCCATTTAGCTCACAATTAGATAACAATATCTTTAACCTAATAAAATACAACACACTATAATTATAGTAAATACCAATTGAAAGTCAAWATTTTAAAGATTGAATTAAGTTCATCACAAGTTCCTAGAAAGTTTTTAGTTAATATAATTAAACACTTTTAGCACTATATAAGTTGCTTTATTATAATTAATGTTATATAATATTATAAAATGGTAGCTTATAGACATAATAATATTTTCAAATAGTTTTTAGATTACATATTGACAAAATAGATTTAATCACTTTTTCTTTTATCATTTTTGTATTAATGTCGGATCCTTTCATTTCTCATAATACTATGATTCAGCTAGTAACTGCCTTAGTCGTGCTATAGATATATGCATTGCAGGTTGCATTTGTCTAAGACCTTTTTGAAAGATCTTAATAAAAACAGGCCAATAACAGCCACCAACAATAAATAATAAAAAATCACTCATGTTTAATTGCTGAAAAGTGACATGGTACTGTGCAGTCTAAGAGCCATAACATGATCTTAGTTTATAGTTGGATTTCATAAATTAAACAGGTATATTTTCATTTAAGTAAAACACATTTTAAAAACTACAAGCTGTGAAATGAGGGTATTTGAGAAATAAAATTTACCTTCAAGAGTGTAAATTATTTATTGCGTTTTGACTATACAAATCTTGCTGTGACATCTTGATTTGTTTTGTGGAATTCTTACAGTTTCAGCAGTGAAGAGGAGACTGAGAGACTGCAACATTTCAGGGGGGGGCAGAATTTTGTTTTATTATTTTTTGAGGAGGGAGGGCATATCCCAATTGACAGAAGAAAGTAAAGTTGTAGTATTATATATAGTATTAACTAATCTCTCTATCTACAGTATCTATCAAATAATTACTTAATATTAAATTATTCTATTCCTGTAACTTATTATATCCAGGAAGTACAAAATGCTTGTTCAAATGGAGTAATATCTTGACATAATATTTTGACATCTAAGTGAGGTTATGTGGTGCAACAATGCTAATTTTGACATCTCAAAGCTGTYWTGTGATGGCCTGCYTATYGCAGGTGTCTTCCTGTGTGTTTTCTGTTGAAGGCACAGTTTAACTTCTATCCTGTTGTGACTGAAATAACAACTAAATAGACCACACCACTTTCAGATGATCAAATTATGCCTAGACTACATGCCATGAGAGATTCATCAAAGAGTTAAAACATTTATCCAATAATTTGGATTCGTTCGTTTATGTACCTATATTAATATTGACTTAAGTGAAGTGACCAGACAGAAAATAATTTAATATAGCAGCTTGAGGCCATGCTGTGTAAAGCAGCAGAACCATGACATGAAATAGTATTTATTTCCYGT